AATCTTTCTTTTAAGGCGTCCAGGGATGCTACTATGGTGTCAAGGGATGTTATTCGTGTTTCAATGATATCAACTCTTTCCAACAGATCCAGTTTGGGTCTGCATGATTTGCAGAGATATGGAAACTCATTGCATGATTCTAGGTATTGAATCATTTGCTCGGGTAATCCCAAGCAGTTTTGATGAGCATATTTATTACATAGAGAACATTTGATGGATTTTTCATTATCCTTTAGAGTTTTGTAGCATTTAAGGCATGTGCAGGAGTCTTGTGGTTCATTGGTTACTTTCTCTTTAGGTTGTGGTTTGGCATTGGATTTTTTTCTTGGCATGGTAGGTTTGTTATGATAGTACGTTGATTGAATTAATTAATGGAACAATTTTGTGTAATCAATATAGCCAATATCACACCAATCAATCAATTGCAGTAATCTTCCTAGTCAAATAATTTTCCTAAGCAACTATCAACTTAATCAATTAATTACACAAATCGCTAATGAATTAATTACACTAATCATTAATCACACTGTTCAATTAAATTCACTAAATCACTGATTTTACTAATCAATTAAATTATATGAATCTTGATTTTTTAAACTAAACAGTAATCACACTATTTGCACTAAACACTCTAATCACACTGATCAATTAAAACAATAAATCAATTAAACCATTAATGAAATATTTTATAGAAATTGATTATCTAATCATTGATATAGGTGATAAGGTAGAAAAGTTGTAAGTTTTGAGGTAATGAATTAAGGGGTGCTTGATTAAAGTAATGAGGTAGTATTGAGAGTCTGCAAGGAAAGGGTTATTTGTTTTACTAGCAACTGTGATTTACTGGGTGAGAGGAATTTATTGCTATGATTGCTGCTGCTATTGCTCTGTAAACAATGGTGTAACAAGATGTTCAAAGCACGCCGGATTTTTGAAAGAGAGCAAAACTCGCTGAATTAAAACACTTTAACTACAATCAATATGTCTCTGAAGAAGATTGCTTTCCAATAGTTTCTTAAAGTTCTTCAAGTTGAGTAGTAGTAAAAATACAGTCCAGAAATTTGGGTTAACCAATCCAATCTGTCCTTTACTTTTAAAGTTACTTTGAAGCAGCTTGGAAAGTCAAAAACAAAATATGCATTTACCAGAAATCCTCTGACCCCTTACCTTGCTTCTTATAGAAATATTGTGCAAAACCATGAAATTGCTGATCTAAGGAACTGGAAGTAGGCATGTTTCAGTGAATAAGGATGGGTCTGGAAAATAACAAATATGTACTTCTTCTTGGTATAGTTTAACATAAGAAACACCCCAGGCTAGGCTGAGGCTATGAAATGTATAAAAGTGATGCCTCAGGAAGAGCCAGGGGTTCAGAATTTCCCATTCTAATGCTCTGAACCTTGTGCACAAATGTGTGCACAAATTTATTTGTGCACAAATAAATCTGTATTCTCCAACCTTTCGTGGTCTTGTGTCCTGATTTGGAAACAGGATCTGCTGCAACAACTTCTAGTTGCAATATCTTTTTTTTTTTAACTAAATCTGACAGTCACTCCAGATCATTAATCGCAGCTATTTTCCTCCTTTGAGTCCCACTTTCCAAGGAAAATTCCACTGCAGAAATTGGAGTGATTCTTACCAAGACTAAGCACGCTGTTACAAGATCTTTCCTTTCTTTTTCACCTCTCTCTTAGCTGCCTTCCTGGTTTCGATTCAGCCATGCTGGCAGTTCTCTTTTTAGTTCAGATGGAGGGGTTTTCTTTAGGTCAGTCAAGGAGACCCTCCTTTCCTTGCGACCACCGAAGCATTCCTCTGCCATCCAGGGTGACTTTCGGCTCCTAAGAGCCTCCGGGCTTTCTCCTCCCTCCTTGTTTCTCCCTGCCAGCTGTCCAATGTGGCTCTGGGGAAACTGTGTGGGGGATATTAATGGAAACACGTTGTCTGGCGTGAAAGATACTTCTATCAGCTGTGTGAGGGATTGAAATGAAGGTACGTTGTTTGTATTCCGCTGGCTCCAAATGCAGGGTTGCCAGATCGCAGCTTGGCTCTGCGGCCAAACTCAAGTCAAAATACGGCCAAATTCGGCCAAATTATTTTCTCTCATGGCCAAATTTTCCGGCCAATTTTTTTTTGTGTGCAATATAACATGAGGATAAATTGTTTTTTTGTTTTTTAACTGTTTTTAAATAATCAAATCATAAAAATTAGTATTTATTCGACAACGTGATATGACGTCATGGGAATTTCTGCGTTTCCTTACTCACATCCAGGCTAGGCAGCTCACTTCAAATAACCGCTACTACCATTTGGAAAGCTGGATGACTGAGAATCTCCATAAATCTCTAAAGAGGCTTCTTTGGGGCCAGTCTCCTGTTTCCATGAAGTGACCTCTCTGTGAAATCGGAGACTCAGGCACTTTTTAGCAGGCACTAAAAAGAAATGCTCCTCGCACCCCGGTGCGCAATGACACTCTCACATTCCGCTTCACGGCAGAGGCATGCAGAAAAAGGGGATAGAAATGCGCGCAGTGCTTCTTTGATTTGGCGCACAGGCACTTTCCTGCCCTGTTGCCATGCCAACAGCTTCTTTGCACTTCACCTGTAAAAAAAAAAAAAAAAAAACCTTGCCACGACACAGGAACATTTTTGAGAGACAAAAACTCCCGGCTCGTTTCAACAAGTCCGGCGTTGGAAGCCAAAGAAAAGGTTTCGCACTCTTATTCCCATTTATTGACCCATTCACAAGAAGTGCAAAATGGGCAGGGGGACGGTGTTTCCGCATGTCGAGCTGCTCAAAATGGGTTAAATCCCCCCACACACACACACACAAACACCCAGTGGGGTTGTAATGGGAACATCGCACCGCTTTCACCCCCTCCTCCAGCCAACTTTTAAGGCGGTTTGTGTTGAGGCAAAGTGGGGGGGCAGAGATTTCGAAGTCTACGTCTATTGTGAGTCCCATGTTGTGTTTTCCCCCCAAAGTGAGACGCTCCTACCTAAGTCCCGCTATGGGTTCCTAGGAAGAAACAAGCCAATCGGGGAGTTTTGGTGGCCTGAGGCAAATAAAGTGAACAAGGAACGGGACTGCACCTGGAGTAAACCTGTGTGTGTGTGTGTGTGTGTGTGTGTGTGTGTGTGTGTGTGTGTGTGTATAGACTCTGACGGGAAGACCACACAGCCCTCTCCCTCCGGCGCTCTAATCAGTGTGGCGAAGAAGGTCTCACTGTGAGAAAACAATCCAATACTGAGATGTTTACATCTGGGTTAACATCCACTTATACTACGCAGCGCTGTTCACAGTCAGAAGGCTTCGGCCTTTGTATCGCGTTATTTTTCAGAGGTTTTCAGACGATCTGACAGTCATTTTCATGTAAATATAATGTATTGAAAACTGGTATTCAGCCAAAATTTCGATTTCATGGCCAAGCAACTTTCATACGGCCAAATTTCCGGCCAAATATATTTGGTGGGAGACATGATTTTTTTTACAGCCAAACAGATTTCTATATGGCCAAATTTCTCGAATTTGGATGGAAAAATGGCCAGATGGCAACCCTGTCCAAGTGATCCAGTACAAGAACTCCACCAGTATGGTTAATAAGGCTCAATGGAAAGAGCTTCACTTCTCTGGGGAAGGAGAGGAGGGCTCTGGATCAGTTAGCAGGAGCTCTGCCAGCATTATTAAGGCTCCATGGCTTCAGGATCCAGCGTTTGGGGGCTTGTTTTTGGGGCTCTGGTTTACTCACGGTTACTGGTGTAGGCGGCAGCTTTAAAAGTGATTTCTGGTGTAGGTGGTGGCTTTATAGTGCTCCAGGAGCGAAAGCCTCACCTTCCTAGTTGGGCACCTCCATTTCCAAAAAATTGAGTTTGTTTCTGTTGTGTGCTCTTGTATTGTTGTGGCTGAAGCTGAAGTAGTCATTGACTGGTAGGACATTGTAGCAGATAATTTGTGTACTACGCTTAAATCCAACCATAGGCGGTGTAGTTCAAGTTTATCCAAGCCCAAAATCTCAAGCCTGGTGATATAGGATATTCTGTTGCTGACTGATTAGTATTGATTAGTATTCTGTTGCTGATTGATTGGTATTGATTGGTATTCTATTGCTGATTGATTGGTATTGATTGGTATTCTGTTGCTGATTGATGATTGATTGGATTTTCTCTTTCTTCAATAATCAAGGCATAATATTTTAAAACTGGAAAACTTCATACTATATGTATAACATAAACAATAACATTAATTTGGAATTAAAATCAAATTAAATTAATTAAAATTGGTGGAAGCTATTCATTTCACAAATGAAGGCCAATACATGGGACCCAGGATAATGTTGCAGGATCCAATTTGGGTCAGTCACCAGAATCAGAGGTCTTGTCTTTCAAGCTTTTGGACTGATGCTAGAGCTCATCTTCAGGGAAACTTTTTGTAGCAGAGTGTGTGCCTTGTGCTATTGTGTGTGTGGTATTTATATGGCGCCTATTGTGTGTGGCTTTTTAGTTGTTGATTGGGGTGTTGATAGATGGCTATTAAGTCATTGGCTGTTGTTTCCTTAAATAAATCAGCACTCTTGTTGACATTGGTCAACAGCAGTGCTGATTTGCCATTAATTTGCCATGTACTTAGGAGGTAAGGCTTGGGAGCACAAGGAAACAACAACCAATGACTTAATAGCCAGCCATCAACCAAAAAGCCACACACAAAAGGCACCATATAAGTATCACACACCAAACAGCCCAAAACACACGCTCTGCTAGACAGAAGTTCCCTGAGAATGGTCTCAAGCATGAGCCCAAAAGCATGGAAGACTAAATCTCTGGTCCCAGTGACTGATCCAGATTGATTCCTGCTATTTATTTAATGAAAATTAACCTAGCATTACTGAATTTATTTTAAGATTGGTTTCCAACCTGTAATGTTTCCTGTTACTTCTCATCATTTTCTTCTTCTTCTTCTTCTTCTTCTTCTTCTCCCCCAGAAACTGAGAGAAAAGAAAATCCTTCCATCCTTCCACTTTGGCCCTGCTGTAGCCCCAGCACAGAAGATGCTAGCATGGTAACTTTTGCTTGCCTGCTCATTGAACATGGTGCAAAGTCTTTTGAAATCACATGGGAACCTAACACTCCAGAACCGAAAAAATTCTCAACACAGGAAATGAGTGGAAAGAACCTGTTCACAACAAGTCAACTCACTGTCTCTTCCTCCAGCTTCTCCAAAAATCCTTACAAATGCAGTATAAAAGAAAAAAAAGATTTTCCCCCAGTTATCTTCACAGACAGATGTAAGTTTCTTCAAGAGGGTAATCAATGTGAGGTTAAGGCCACCAGAAGCCTGATTAGTAAATTTGGAGCTGGAACTCTGCCAACTGTATAGGTCAACTGGGAGGGACAGTGGTGAGCATAAAAATAGAGAAGGTGACTATAGAAGGATGCTTGTATATCAATGGTGGGATGCTGCCAGGGTGGGTTCTCCAAGCTGCACAGAATCTTAGCTAGGGGCTCTTCGGAACCCCTGCAAAGCCCCAGCAGCCCACCAATGGGAGTTTGCAAACCAGAACTACCAGTTTGTTTGATCTGGTTCAAACCAGCAGCTTCCCACCACTGATCTATATGGTTTTCTTGGCAACAGCACAGAAGTAGTTTTTCTTTCTGTTTTGTTTGTTTGTTCCCCATTTTAGCCTTCAGTCCTGGGATTCCTGAAACTCTCCAATTCAAGTTCTACTCAGACCTGATGTTGCTTAACCTTCTGAATCCAAATGAAATTAAGTGGACTCTCACTTGTAGAGGCCATGCAACAATCACCTTCAAGTTTTCTTGATGTCAGGACATTATTAAGACAGGGTGGCTCATCAGGACATCTGGAGATGATCAAAGATTTAGGTTCTGAAGTTAACATCCTGTTCAGACTCTTGAACTGGTTGTCAAATTGCTTCTAAAGTCAGTTAAGTTTAGCATCTTTGACCTTCAAAATTGAAATTAATGGGGACTAGGATAGAACAGAACAATGGTGTTGGATGATATCTTGGAGGTCTTCTCGTCTAATCCCAAGTTCAATCAGCAATCCATTTGCTATTTTAGACAGGCTCTTGCTAAAAACCTCCAGTGATGGAGCACCCACAAACCTCCAGTTATGGAGCACCTACAAATATCACAGGAAGCTTATCCTAACCCTTCTAAAGTAGATTTCGCTGCAAAAGGCCCATTGGAATTTAAGTGTGGCTTGTTCCCTGTACATTTTTAACATAAGAGAAACAGGTGATGTTCTCCATGTTTGCTAGTTAGAGCATCAGGAAGACAGCTTAATAAATAGTCCTAAGTACAAACATTTCTTAAGAATGGCTCTTCCAACAAAGAGCAATGTTTTCCTACTTTGTATTCTCAGATTGCATTTTGCAACCTCCGAAACCAGTTGATGTCCAGATTTTAACCCCCAGTTGTGGCACACAGAGTTCAGTGATCAACGTGGAACTGGTATGCTTCTTGAGAAGCCTTAGTAGTGGAAAAGCCAAGGTGGAATGGCTGAAGAATGGAGTACAGCTGCAAGAAAAAGAAGAGGTGACATTGAGAGCCATTGTAGGAAAGGGTAGTGGTTACTCCAGTTTCATCCACCTGAACATCAGCAAAGAGAGTTGGGACAAAGGGGACCTCTACACCTGTAAAGTGACACGACCACCAGGCAGTCAAAATGTCACAATGCACAATGCCAGCAAATGCCAAGGTGAGTATTACCCCCTAAAGTATCAAGAGTTTATGGGCTATAAAACAATGGAGGGGTGAGAAGTAATCCAGGCAGATCATCATCTGCAGGAGTCTCTAACTTTCTGGCTTTATGAAGCAGCAGAGATAGCATGGGGGAAGAGGGGATGGTTTCATGCAAAGCAGCAGTGCATGAGCCTGCACATGTGAATGGAGCTTTGTTTGTGAGCATGCATACTGGCCCCCTGCACAACTGGAGCTGCACATGCAAGCACACACATCTGCCATTTCCATGGACTGGTTCTAGATGGGCTACAGCCCAGTACTGGACCCCAGTCTAGGGATTGGGGACTCTTGAGCTAATGCATGCTTCTAAAGATGCGTTAGGAGTGTAGTGTGAAAAGCCCATCTTGGTGACACTGTGTTCAATGTTGATATTAGAGCTTTTCATAAACAGCTTTTCAAAGACCATCTGTCAGGGTTCCAAGTAATAAATCCATTGCAGAGAAGATTCCAAGGCAATTAAATCCATCAAAGATTACTTTTATTGGAAATATTATATTGGCACATATCTGGTGAAAACCAACTCTGAAAATTCCTGCTGTTTTCACCTAATTAAAGTAAAATACTTTCTTCTTTGTCAAAACAATCAATCACATGGTCCAATCACCATGCAGTTCAACAACTGGGTGGCATCAATCCACCTTCTTCTGACCAGGTGTGAGAATGTCCTTGGTTCCTAAAAGAAAGTATTTTGTTTTGGCTACAAAAATCTCTCTATCTCAAATCCCCCCTCCCTGACTCCCAGCTCCAGTGTGTGACCGAATGGCTTCGGTCAGGTCAGCTTCAGGGTTGACAGCATCTTGCTTGGTTTTTAGAACTTCCTTATCTTTAAAGAAGCTACTAAGACTTGCAGCTTCTTAGCAAGTATGTCGCTATTAATGAATTATTGAAGATAAAAAGAAGCACTATTCTCAAATAGTGTTATAACCCTTGTGTCATCTGTCTCCTGGCCTTCTCCACAGTGTGCTATGGTTGCATGCATCAACCCACCATGTCTTTTACCAAGCCATCTTACAAAAGCCTGCTTGATAGATCAGCCATCCTAGTCTGCACCGTGATTTCTTCAAACCTTGAAAATGCTCAGATCACTTGGCTTGTGAATGGCAAACCCAGCAGTGATGTTGTGGATAAGAGGGTGACGACGGATGCTAATGGAAGTCAGAAGTTGAGAAGTAACCATTCTGTGTCTTTGGAACAGTGGACAAAGGGCACCGTCTTCACTTGCAAAGTAACTGGGAGTTGCTTTAAAGAACACAGAAAAGAAATCACCATCGAGAAGGCTACACGTGAGTAGATCACCATGCCCCTTAAAATGCTGCTCCATCAAGGAAGCAAGAATCACATATCTTCAAAATAAAAAAATATATACAAAACAGAAATAATGTCAAGAATCTTGGCTTGGTTGGGATCGGAGTCATCCACTCTTGGTTTTGAGTGACTTCATTAAAGTAGAATTTCTCTGAACATTTTGAATGTGCTTTTCTTAGGTGTTTTGCATCTCGGGCTGATGATCATGTGATAAAAACTACCCAGGAGTTCTTCTCATATTTGTTGAGTTCTAGAATTTCCCCAAATTCTTTTTCAACCTCTTCAGAATCTTTTACATGGCCCGTCTTCACAAATTCACCCTTTCCTCCTTTGCCGTTTTGTCTCAATCCATGTTTTTGAAGGCCACAAAATAATGGCTGGTAGGGTGATTGTATACAGCCTGCTCACAATATTTTAATGTCTATCTATAGCAGGGTGATTTTTTTAAAAAATAACAGAGAATAACAAAGTTGGAAGGGAACCTTGAAGTCTTCTAGTCCTACTGCCTGCTCCAGCAGGAAACCCTATAACATTTCAAAGAAATGGTTGTCCAGTGTCTTCTTTAAAAATCTCCACATTGGAGCTTCTGGAAGCAAGCTGTTCCACTAATTAATTGTTCTCCCTATCAGGAAAGTTCTCCTCTGCTGGCTCCTCTAAGCTCTGCTGGCTGCTGTCGGGCCATAACAATAAGACACAGCCAAATTGGAGTGGCAGATCAGTACTCACCCCATGCACAGGGGTTTCCATTGAACCTTTATCAGCAGGACACATGAGTTGTGATGTCATTGCCCAAGCCCCACTTCTTTATATGCATGCTTCGACAATGCAATGCATGTGCAAAAAATGGCAGAGTTCAAATGGTGAACTTGAACGCAATACGTTTTTTGCTTGCCTGTCTCTTTGATTATGAAATTATCGATTGACTGATTGGACCTGGGAAAAGAGAAGAATGGGAGAGAAATCATGAGCTAAGTTAGCCACGATAGCCAGTTGTCTTAGAGGTTAAAAAGACTGGATTTACAGAGGGGATATTGAGGTTAGGCAAGAAAAAATCAAAAGTACAAATACACAGGGGTGTGATTCTACCAGTTCGGACTAGTTCGGGTGAACCGGATGTTAAAGTTATGTCTGGTTCACCAAACCAGTATTTCAACCAACTGGCTGGCCCTGCCTGTTCTATAATGAAGTACTTTTATTGGTTCATCTATCTGCATCTGTACAGAAGAAAATCTACCACTGTACATAATACAGATCAGTAAAAAGATGGTTATCTCCTATCCTTTTTCCCTCATCTCATAGCAGTAGAAGTAAAACAGTTACCACGAGTCCATAAGTTTATCCAAGAGTGAGGAAACCTCCCCCAACCCATCGAGGGTCAATTTAGTGACCAATCAGAATTACAGATGTAGTCACGTGACATGGACTACATTTCCCAGGATACCTTAACTACATTTACCATGATGCATTTCCTTAAGGGGGCAGCTCACAATTGCTAATTAACTATCCAATTCCCATACACTGGCTGGACAGCACACTGCCCACCCCACCTCACCCCTCCCAGGAGACTCCAAGTAGCCCATTTTTGATGGAAGTAAGTATAGGGTCTGCACGGAGGCTCTGGAAGGGGGAAAAATGGGCCTTCTGGAAGTTGGAAATGGGCCTGTTCTGTCTTCCAGAGGGCCTCCAGAACCTGGGGGAGGCTATTTTCATCCACCCATAGGCCCAGGGGATGTCTCCGGACCTTTGGGAGGACAAAAAATGGCCCTCCCAGAAAAACTGGAAGTCACAAAACAGGCCTGTTTCCAGCTTCTGGTGGGCCTCCAGAGCTAGGGGAAGGCTTTCTTCACCCTCCCAGAGGCCCGGGGGAAGCCTTCGGATCCCTGGGAGGGTGAAAACAGCCTCCCTGGGCTCTGGAGGCCCACTAGAAGCCAGAAACAGAAAGTTCCTATAGGCCACACCCACTGTGGCCACGCCCACACAATGAACTGATTTCTGGGATTTTTGATTCCCACCCCTGCAAATACAGAACAAGTGAAACCTGGCTCAAAAACAGCAGATATGAGAGGGAGCTTGGAGTCCTAGTGGACAATCCCTTAAATATGAGCCAGCTGTGCGCAGCAGTAGTCCCCCTCAAAAGTTAATACAATATTTGGTTGTATAAATAGAGGTATAAAATCAAAATCATGTGAAGAATTAGTACTACTTTATAAAACCTTATTAAGGCCACACCTCGAATATTACATCCAGTTTTGGTCACCACATTACAAAAATGATGTTGAGACTTTGGAAAAAGTGCAAAGAAGAGCAACTAAGATGATTAAAGGCCTGGAGATTAAAACACATGAAGAACAATTGTAGGATTTTGGTTTGGCTATTCTAGAGGACTAGCATTTGAGGGACTGCCATAAATAGCTTTCAACTTATTTACCAAAGCACCTGTAGGCAGGACAAGAAGCAATGGATGGATGGATGCTCCAACACTGGAAGTTTTTAAGAAGAAATTGGACAACCATTTTTCTGAAATGGTATAGGGCAGGGGTGTCCAACCTTTCACGTTCCCTGGGCCACATTAGAAGATGAAAATTTGGTTTGGGCCGCACATAAAATAAAATAACAGTAACGGTACCTGATCATCCCCAAAAACCATAGAAAACATAGTTAACATATTAAATTTATTTGGAAATGAAGTTAGTGAGATGTTTTTATTATTTATTATTAATTATTTATTAAAAATTATTTATTTTTTATCATGGTTTTTTTATCACGGTTTTTTTATCACGGTTTATTTTTCCGGCCAAATTTTGTGGGGGGGGGAGGGAGAAAGCTCTCCCACCTCGCGCTTACCTCTCCTCCTGCAAATGGCCCGGCTGGAAGAGGCAGGACTGGAAGGCAGAAGCAGCAATGGCGGCGGGGGCAGCAGCGGGGGCGGTGGCAGCAGCGGCGGGGGTGGCAGCGGCAGAGGCAGTGGGGGCAGAAGCAGCAGCAGTGGCGGGGGCAGAAGTGGCGGCGGCAGTGGGGGCAGAAGCGGCGATAGGGGCAGCGGTGGCGGGGGCAGAAGCAGCAGCAGTGGCGGGGGAAGAAGCAGGGGCGGGGGCGGGGGCAGAAGTGGCAATGGGGGCAGAAGCGGCGGCGGGGATGCAGCAGTGGGGGCAGAAGCGGCAGCGGCGGTGGTGGAGGCAGAAGCAGCGGCGGGGGGGCAGAAGCAGTGGCGGGGGCAGAAGTGGCAGTGGGGGCAGAAGCAGTGGTGGGGACAGAAGCAGCAGCGACGGCGGGGCAGAAGCAGGGGCGGTGGTGGCGGTGGCAACAGCAGGAGGTGGCACTCTGATGGCGCCCACCTTTTCTGTTGCTGCTTGGCCTGGTGCTCGTCTCGCCCCACCTCAAACCTGCCTCTCCTCCTCCTCCTCTCTGGCTCTGGCATGAAGGTTGGGGTGGGCACTGGGCCACATTACGAGGCGACCTGGGCCGTATGCAGCCCACGGGCCGTGGGTTGGACAAGCCTGTTATAGGGTTTCCTGCTTGAGCAAGAGGTTGGACTAGAAGACCTCCAAGATCCCTCCCAATACATCCAGATCTTGGTGGCAGGTGCTGCTGCAGAGAACTCATACTTCCAGGGCCCTGAGAGATGATAATGTTTAATCAAAGGAACAAAAATATGCCAGTGCTGAACGTTTGAATTAGCCAGGTAGATGCTATGGGAGAATGGTGGTTTCCCAAATAACCAGATCCTATGCCATGGAGAACTTCGTTGGTAACCACCGACATCTTGAATCTCACCCAGAAGCAATTTGGCAACTCTTACAGCTCAGAAACCAGAGTGTTACATGGGCATACTGAGCCATGCCCATTATTTTATTTATTTATTTATTTATTTTATTTGTCAATCACTTACAAGATAATAGGTATAAGAATAAACATAGTTATGAATACAAGAAATGAGTACATATAAGAAAAATAAAAGAAACAATAGGACAGGGACTGTAGGCACTTTATGCACACCCCCTACAGACTTATTAGGAAAGGGGTGAGGTTGAGCCACTGTAGTCGAGACCAGTTAATGCTTCCCAGTGGTCTTCAAGGGTAGCCCCAGTTTGCAGTAGTCAAGCCAGGAGCTGATTAGAACATGAGTGCTTTCCCACTGTAGGAAAGAACTGCATGGTCCTCTTCATCTAATCACCAGGAGTCCAGATTAACTCAAAAAGCCATCACAATGACAAATTACACTAAAACAGACAAATTAGAGGAAAAGTAAGACTATGGATGGATGGATGGATGGATGGTGTTAAGTTTGGGAAATGAGAGGCTGAACCAGAGCATGAGTGCAAC